GAAAGTGTCTCTTAAAATCCAAGTTGGGGGCTGGAAATGTAGCTCAGTGGCACAAGTGCCTGCCTGGCACGCGCAAGGTCCTGAGTTAGATTTTCGGAACCAAACATAAATAAATTCAAGTTGGGGGATGGGGATGAATAGCGTCAGAAGAGAGAACTGTTGCTTAAATGGAATAAACAGCTTCATAAAAGAGTCAATTTGTAAGTGCTCTACAGATCTGCTGGCGCACTTGCGTCTCTAGTCCTCCCTTCTGCTATTTTTTTTAAAAAGTGTATTTAGTACAGTGTTTATAGGGTCTACAGGGTCTCACTACACAGATCAGGCTTGTAGTGATCCTTCCTGTATTTTTTTCCCCCTGGGATTACAGGCCCAGGCCACATGCCCAGTCTCAGTCACTGTCTCAGCTCACCCTGGTGGCAAGGCTAGCATGGCAGGCCAGGGATGGAAACCCAGCCCCAGCCTTCTGCTACTATTTATTTATTTCTGGGGATTGAACCCAGGAGGCTCACACTGGGCTACATCTCCAGCCCTTTTAATTTTTTGTTTTGAGACAAGGTTTCACTAAGTTGCCCATGTGGGCTTCGAACTTGTGATCCTCCTGTCTCGGCCTCCCAGAATGCTAGAATGACACATGTGGGATTCTGCCGAGCGTTCCTTCTGCTTCTGTAGTTTTCCCCACCAGGCCTGGCTGACAATCTGTAGTCTGCATAGGTATTTACTCCAGGAACCTGCGAATGACAGCTCTTAGAAATCACAGGACCAGACTGCATTAAATGAAAATGGTTTCAGTGAAACAGCAGACACTATGAAAAAAAAAACAGCAGAGACAGGAACATACATTGATCATTTACAGATATTCGTAGCTTGGTGTGTGCTAGAGACTCGAGACGCTTAGAATACAAGAAACCAGGCACGAATGGTTCCTGCCCTTCAAGATGAGAAACGTGGGTTAGTCCTGTTTCCCAGGCTGGGTAGGTTCCTAGAAGCTTCACAATAAATATGGTGCGCATACCTAGAACTTTCTTTCTTTCTTTTTTTTTTTTTTAATATAACTTTATTTATTTATTTAGTGTGTGTGTGGCCAGTTCAGCCCACCAGGGGGCGGGTCTGGCTGGCATGTGGTGCTGGGCATTGAACCGCGGTCGCTGTGCTTTTGCTTAGCTTAGCTTGTTCTAAGTAGGTGCTTTAGACCACTGAGCCATCTCACCAGCCCTAGAACTTTCTTTTTTTAGATAGGGCCTCGCTATACTTGACGGGCTGGCCTTGAAATCACGGCCTCAGCCTCCTGAGTGCTAGTGCCACAGGCCTACCTCATCAAGCCTGGATTTTCAGAATTTTAGATCCATTGATTTAGTAGGGCTGCTGCTATGAAGCTTTAGAAAAGAGCTCCCGAGTGATTCCAAAGTGGTAGTCTATAGATTTATTTTATTTTTTAAATTTATGTATTGGTACAGGATCTTACTACTCAGCTTGGACTTGTTTCAGGATCCTCCAGTTTCAGGACAAAACAAAAAATGAAAACATGTTATTTTAACAATTAAAAAAGTTTTTTTTTGATGCAGAGTTTTGCTATGTACCTTGAGTGCACTGTGTAGCCCAGGTTGGCCTCTACCATGCTGTGACCCTCCTGCCTCAGCTCCCAAGCACTGGGTTTACAGGCGTGCACCACCATGCCCAGCAAGAATGTACTTCATATATTCTCTCCATTATCTCTCTTTTATTTATTTATTTATTTATTTATTTATTTATTTATTTTTGCAGAACTGGGATTGAACTCAGTTGCACTTGCCAGGAAAGTGCTTATTCCGCTGAGCCATCTCCCCGCCCCCCTCCATTATCTCTCTTGAAGGTGCCAACCTAATATTTTAATTGTTTAATTATAGGTTAGTACTATGCAAAAAGTCAGTTTTAGAAAACAGTCCTCCAGAAATTCTCATCAGTTTTACTGTCAAAATATTAGCTTTTGGACAGTTTTTTTGTTTTTTTTTTTTTTTCTTTTCAGATATGCTGGGATACACCAGCTTTTGTTGTTGTTTAAATAATTTCTATTGCACATCAATGTGTAAGGAGTAGCTTGGAACCTGGCTCGGAGTTGCGTTGGTCCCTAACAAGAGAATTTCACGGGTTAGGTTTGTATCTTTTGGCGACGTAGGTGCTCACCAACAAAAGCCAACCAGGAGCCCGGCTGCATTTTAGCCAGGCCGACTTCACCCCGGAGATGTGAGGCTGCTCAGTGAGGAGGTGTTGATAGAAACTAACCACACACAGCCTGCAGTTGTGTTCTGTGATTCGGCGGAGGGTGAAGTGGCGGTCTTCTAGGATGGCGGTCTTCTAGGTGCTAGAAAAGAGTGATAATGCTACGATAGGGCTTCCTGATTTATGGCTTGGACAATATTCAGTTTTCTGTGCTCAGATCCGACGAGAAGTGGTCTTGGTTTTGATTCGCTCTGGTCACAGAGGCCGTGGCTGCCGCTGATGGTGGACTTTGTAAAACTTCACATTTCACTCGGGAAGAGTGATGCGGTGGAGGGATGAAAGGGCCTTCTTTTTTCTTTTTCAGGGTTAAATAAAAAGGAAAGTAGCCAGGTGTGGTGGGTATGCCATGTCTTTGATCTTACCCTTCTGGAAGGCTGAGCCAGGTGGATCCCAAGTTTGAGCCCAGCACGGCCAATTTAGTGAGACATTGTCTCAGAAAGGCCAGAGAAGCTCAAAAGACTGAGGTTCAAACCCTGTAATTGCAAAAAGGAACAAAAAATAAACACTCTTCTTATACATGTAAATGGGACCTAGACACACCTAAAACGTTCATCAGTAGCCAGCAGTGGACAAGGCTGAAAGATAGCTCTGTGTAGGGGAATGATTTCTACATGAACTGGACACCACAATGAACAGCTTCTGCTTATTGATCACCTACTACATGCCATGCTGTGCAGTAGGTGATCAGCACACACACACAACTTCACAATATAACACATTTTGGCCAATCCCATTATGCAGGTAAGCAGACCGTCAATAACACTGTCACACCAGAAGCGGTGGCACATGCCTATAATCCAGCACCAAGGTAGGCTGAGGCAGCAGAATCACACTGGGGGAACTGAGCAATCTAGCAAGGTCCTGCCTCAAAGCATGAAAAAGGACTGAGGAGGTAGCTCAGTGTGAAGACCCTTGATTCGACCCCAGAACTGCAAACCAGAAAAGCAAACCAGAGCACACTCCACAGCCTTGTAGCCCTTACATGGAACAGCTGGGATGTTGCTGGGTTGGGTCCACTTGAAACATCCTCTGTTGCCGCTGCCCAGATGGGCTCTCCCCAGAGCACTGGGTCTGCAAGTGTTGCTATGGAGACATATTACACAACTGGCAGGATTTTTCTGAAACTCAGATACCTTCACCCATCTGAGAACGTGGGCCAGGGGAACCAGATCACAGTGCAGAGCCGCACTTGAGTTTCTTTTCTCTACTTGCAAGTGCAGATGAATTAGCTGGTGGTCCGGGGAAGGCTGATCACGGCTCAGGACAGTAGAACTGTCCTGGTCACAGAGAAGTCATGCTGGAAGAAGTCTTAGTATTCCAGAGTCATAGATTTTAGGGATCTAATAATGTCAAGGTTGTCTCTTAGAGATGAGGAAAACCACGCTCGGGAAGGCACTTATCATTTGCCCCAGTCCCACATTATCCAGTATCTGTCAGGTCAGGCGGGTTAACTGGCTCCTGTCAGGTCTGGCCCCTTGGTTTCCCAAATCAAATGGCTCTGCTCTCACGAGGCCAGATTAGAAGTCAGGGCTCCCAGGGCCCTGATGATGCCCTGGTTGCTCTTCCAGGCTCAAGATCACTGCTGGCACTCCAGGTCAGAGGGTGCAGGGTGCTGTGTTTGGACCTCAGGAGATCAGGCACTCCCTGTTGCTATGCAACCTTGCAGCTAAAAAATTTCTCAGACTCTTATATTCAGTGAAACTGGCAACGTAAGCTTTGTTTTGTTTTCTGTTTTTTTGAGACATGGTCTCGCTGTCTAGTGCACCTCATGACAGCCCTTCTGACTCAGCCTCCAAGTACTGGGATTAGGGTAATGCACCAGCAGGCCTGAAGACACTGAATATTTATTTATTTATTTATTTATTTATTTATTTATTTTAGGTTGAATGTGAATATTTATTTATTTACTTATATTTCTGAAGCAAGGTCTCACTGTGTAGTCTCAGCTGGCCTTGAACTCACTGTGTAGCCTAACGTGACCGTGAATCACAGTGATCTTCTTGCCTCAGCCTCCCTAGTGCTAGGATTACAAGGGTGTGTCACTGTACACCTAGCTCTAAGTATTTTATTTATTTGTATTTAGCACAGGGTCTACAGGGTCTCACTATGTAGATTGGATTCAGAGTGATCCTCCTGGTTACAGCCTCCCAAGTGCTGGGATTATAAGCACCTGTGCCACCACGCCCAGTCTCAATTGCTGTCTCAACGTGCCCCCGGGGTTGGGGCATGCAGTGCAGGCCCGGGGATCAAAGCCTCCAGACCCTGCATCTGCCTAAGCAGGCCCTTTAATCTGCTGAGCTATCTGGCTGGCCCTTATTTATTTATTTATTTATTTACTTATTTATTTTGGTAGCCTCTGAGCTATCTCCCCAGTCCCTGTTTTAGTCTTTTTGAGGCAGGGTCTCGCTATGCAGTTCAGGTTGGCCTTGAGCTCACATTGTAGCCCACATTGCTCTCGAATTTGCAACCGTAGTCCTGTTTTAGCCTCTCCAGTGCTGGGATTACAGGCGTGGGTCACCTTGCCTGGTTTAAGGCACTACTGGGATCCACCAGCCAGCCTAGGGTGGGAGGTGACATTGGAGGTGGAGCGATTCTGGGGCGGAGCCTCCACGGCGGGGGGCGGAGCCTGCACGACAGGGGAGGAGCCTCCACGGCAGGGGCGGAGCCTCCACGGCGGGGGACGGAGCCTCCACGGCAGGGGCGGAGCCTCCACGGCAGGGGCGGGGCGTGAGGCGGAAGGAAGGCAGACGCCGGGAGGCGGCGCTCCAGTCTGCAGCCGCGCGTCCGCGCCATGGCATCGCGCAGCTGCGGCACCGAGCTCGGTAAGGGCCCGCGCCTCGCGAGTGGCCTTCGCGCGGGCTCTTGTTCCGCTGGGGTTCTGGCCCGGGTGGGTGGCGGGACGCCGGGCCTGGCGCGACCCCAAGCAGAGGCGGCGCCCTGGGCCTCGGTGGGGTCGCGCTAACGCCGCCGCCCGGCCCATGTCTGCCGAAGGCGCCGGAGGGAGCCCGAGTTCCTCTTCCCAGCGCGTCGCTTGAGTTCTGACTCTGGTCGCACACAAAACAGAAATAACCCCCGACGACACCGGGCCCTCCCCACACCCGGGTGTGCGCGGCGAGACGCTCGCGTTGTCGCGGCCAGGTCCCCGCAGCGGCCGTGGGGGACCAAGTCGGGGCTCCGCGCCAAAGTGCGGCGCTGTATTTTTTAAGTGCTTGCAAAACTTTATGAAGGTGCCTGTGTTATTCTCACGCCTTTCATTTAATCCGTATTCACTCAAATGCTACTGGCAAGAAAACTTCGTATTTCTTAAATAATCTGAAAAGTGGATGATTCAGACGTAGTAAGCTAAAGGTTCAAGGTTTAGGCATTACAGCATGGCTGCCTTGGTATTCTGGATCTTTACTTCTTAGCTGTGTGATTTGGGGGAACTAATGAGCCTGTGCGTTAAGTGAATCTGTAACATAGTTCTGTAAGGGTATTTAATTCATCACATGGTTTGGAGATTAAGAGAAACGGTACAGGCAGTGTTTAATATATTGGGTACCTAGGAACTATTCAGCAAGTTAGTAGTATTAGTGTTCACAAAGTTTTGAAGGGCTAATTTTGAAAAAGATTAGCCATAAATTGTAAATAACACCGGTGTTCTTGTGGGAGTTTTTGGGTTTTTTTGGGGGGGGGGTGGCGGCGGTTCTGGAAGTGACTGAATCACGTAGAGGTGTTTTGAACTTGGAATTGTCCCCTTTCAGCCCGTCATAGTGCTGGGGTAACAGACTGCTCCACCATGCGGGGCTACTTTTTTAAAAAATAATTTTTAGTACAGGGACTATAGGGTCTCACTACACAGACTGGACTTGTAGTGAGCCTCCTGTTTTTCAGCCTCCCAAGCGCTGGGATTAGAGGCTCGTGCCACCACACCAGGACTGTCACCTCAGAGTGCCCCGGGGGCGGGGTCTGCTTGGCACCCTTTTTTTTTTTTTAATACATGTTTATTGTAAAAATTTTAGAAAATATAGTTAGTACGAGAAGGGTTGTATAGTTATTACCTAATCACTACCACTTGTAATTTAACTTACTGTTTCTATTTCCAGTGCACGGATTTTTTTTTTAGGCGTGCTGTGGACTGAGGAGCTTAGTTCATGTATTAGTTGATACCCAGCTTAGTTGTTAGCGCTTTTTTTTTTTTTCTTCTTCTAATTCTTTTCCTTTTTAGGAACCAAGAGTTCTTTTGAGACCAAATCCGACTCTCATGATAAAAACCCTTCAAGGAAAACATTCTTCTAATGTAGCATTCGGACTTGTGAAGGACGCTTCTCCAAATAGGAAACAGACTCTTTAACTTAATATTAGACGGTGGGCCTAGCATGCTGAGGTTTAGGGTCCTACGGGTGATTCTGGGTTTTAAACTCTCCTCTAGCATTCTGAGAACACTCAAGCCTGAGATCCACCGCCTGCTCTCTGTCTGCGTGGTGGAATGCTGTGTAGTCATGTATTACCATTCTGCCCCCTGCAGTCTATTAAAACGAGTGGACACTCTTTATTCTTCTAAGCTTCTTGTATCCCAGGCACTTAGCATAGTCTCAGGAAGACAGATGGCCCTCAGAAAGGTGTTGAATGAAGGGGATGCTTTTGCAACTTGCTGGGGACACTTGAGCTCCCACTTGGACCCCTGTGTGCTGTCAGGTGCAGAGAAACAACACACTTTTTTTTTTTTTTTTTTCCCGAAAATGTTTAAAGTTCAGTTTTTAAAATTCTGTGTTTAAAGTTGTCTCAAGAGGCTTCTGAAGGGTGTAGATGTATGGCTTCCTTTCAAATGTGATTATCTTTGGAGACATCTAGAAGATGGGAGTATTGTATAGGAGGCATTTTAGGATGTTCCTAAGCCAGATCTTTCTGGAAGCTCTTGGGTATAGAAATGCGAATGTAAAGATAGGTGAAAAAACAACAGTAATTGAAAACTGGTCTTTAACTGGAAGGAGATGGGAGCAATTCTGTGGATTTCCAGTACTGTTTTGAGTTAACCAGACATTGTTTTAGGTACCTGTGTGCTTACTGGACTCATCCAGGACCCTCATAAGGTATGATGTGAAGACTGACTTGCTATTGTTACAATTTAGATCCCAAACATCCCCCTGAAGTCTCTGTATTGAGAGGCGGGCCTTTTGGAAGGTGAGTGGATCATGGGATGCCCTACTCATGAGTGGATTGGTCCATGGATGAGTTCACGGATGCATGTGCCACCGGAGGTGGACTCTTGTTGGATGAGAGGTTTCTGGGCTGGAGGTGTGACCCAGAAGGGTGTATTCTTGTTTCTGGCTCCTCCCTTCTCTGCTTCCTGGCTGCCTGCCATGCGTTGAACACCATTTTTGGTGCCATGTCCCTCTGCCATTCTGTTTGATTACCATGAACTGAATCATCAGCATTGTACCTTGTTTCAGAAAAGATATAGGTACAGCTGGAGATATAGCTCAGAGGCATAAGTGCCTGCCTGGCAAGTACAAGGTCCCCAGTTCAAAACCCAGTACTGTAAAAAAAAAAAAAAATTATGTCCAAGAGATGGCCCAGTGGAATAAGCGCTTCCTTGGCAAGTGCAAAGGCCTGAGTTCAGTCCCCGGTTCCACCAAAAAAAAATACTGGGGCAGAATGGAGAAGTCCATATGTTGGTGGATTATGGGAGTAGATTTGGGGATCTGTGAAGAAGTTTTTTAGGGTGACGTTTTCTTATCCCTCCTCTGAGATTATTTCATTTAGATGTACGGATGTGCCCTGGAGAATCATGGGGGAATCAGAGAGCAAATTCAGGTGATCACAATAGGGATTCTTTCTTTGTTCCATCTCTTATGATTTGGAAAATTCTAGTTCTCATGAGTCAATCTTTGGGCTGACTAAAGCTTCCTGTGTATAAAAACCAGTTGTGTCTCTTCTTGTGTTCTTGAGGTAAAAACATCAAGTGCAAATAGCACCTCATTTTATTTTAATGTAGGATGACATTGTGTCAGATTTCTGAATCTCTGGTTTCATTCAGTAGTTTCTTTTTTTTTTTTTTAATTTTATTTATTTGTGTGTGTGTGTGTGTGTGGCCAGCTCAGCCCACCAGGGGATGGGGCTGGCTGGCATGTGGTGCTGGGGGATTGAACCACGGTCCTTGTGCTTTGCTAAACTTGTTCTAAGTAGGTGCTTTAGACCACTGAGCCATCTCACCAGCCCCTCATTCAGTAGTTTCTTAAGCTGTAATCTCTTAAATTGTAAACAGGTTTAAGCAGTTTAAGAACTCTGTGTATTTCAAGTGAGAAATAACCTGATTATCACCTTTTAAAGATCTCCACCATTGTTATTTATGGAGACACAGAACATGATAGCTTATCTTTGAGTTACAAGTCAACCCCTACTTAAATACATTTTTAAAAAGTAAAATAGCCTGTTCTTCACTAGGTGACATGTAAAAACTTGACCGTTAATTATAGCACTTGGCTTAGGTGGTAAGGTGGAATTTAGAAATTTTTAGATTTCTGCAGGGAATTTCTCAAGTGGCGATAATGTGAGATTTTTTAGATGATAAAATTGATTTATGTGTTTTGTGTTAAATCTCATATATTGTGTCTTAGCATATACATTCAGTTATCCCTTAGAATCATGGGAGATTAGTTCCAGGACATCCTTTGATACAAAAAAACTGAAAATGTTCAAGCCCTTTATATCTAATGACATAATGTCTGCTTTAGAATCCCCGTGTGCACTGTAGATTCTCTCTAAATTACCTGTAACACCTAATGAAATATAAATGCTGTGTGTATATTGTTATACTGGATTGCTTAGAAACCATGACAAAATTTCTGTACATGTTAGTATAGACGTAGTTTCTTCCCCCAAGTACTTTATTTATTTATTTTTTATGTGTTTGGTACAGGGTCTGCAGGGTCTCACTACACAGATCAGATTCAGTGATCCTCCTGTTTTCAGCCTGCCAAGCGCTAGGATTACAGGCGTGTGCCACCTCGCTCAGCCTT